CTGCCCCACAGGGTTTCCAAGCCTGTGACTCTGTGTATAAGCAGACCTGCTGTCTCTTTATCTGGTGGATTCGAGCAGCTGACCTTGCAGTTGGCAGCTGAGAAGTTGACCCACTGGACTCCTTCATCGCATTTTAGGCATGGGGTGTTTTTAGTGTCAGCTGACCCCAAAAAGGAGCCCAGGTGGGATTGCGATCTGCTCTGGAGCCTGTCGGGCTGGCTGCTCATAGGCAGAGGGCTGAGAGGAGCCAGCGAGACAAGGCCCCTGATGTGCTTCACCCAGTGCTTGGCACACCCTGGGGCCTGGCACACAGGAGTGACTGTGTTCTTGCAAACAGACCAGGGCCTCTCTGCCAATGGAGTTAGGTACCCATGGAGAGGGGAACTTGCCTTCCTGGCTGGGGAGGGAAATAATCAGCTGAGCCAGGGGTTTGAGTCTGAACAGCCTGAGAGCCCCTGTGTACCCCTGATTCCCATCTCCCTGCCACACCCTGGGAGGCCTCCCCCATAGCATGGGCATCCTGGCACATGGCGTCTGTCTCCCCACAGTGCTCCAGCTTTTCTGTAGCTCCCCCAAGGCCGCTCTCCGCTACGCTGCCGTCCGCACCCTCAACAAGGTAAGAGCTGGGCAGTAGGAAGAATGGGGGCCCAGCCGCCTGGGAGGGGAGCAGGAGGTGGGACTGGCCAGTTTGGAGGTGTTTGCTAGCATCTGACCTGAGCCACGAAAAGTGGAGCCCTGGTCACATGGACTCTACTTGCACCAAAGATGATCTCTTCTAAAGGTCGACTGACCTAGCCAAGCCTATCCTGTGGCGTGGCTCAGTTGGGAACCTCTCTTTGCTGCAAACAGGTTGCCATGAAGCACCCGTCTGCAGTGACAGCCTGTAATCTGGATCTGGAGAACCTGGTCACAGACTCGAATCGCAGCATTGCCACGCTGGCCATCACCACCCTCCTCAAGACGGGCAGCGAGAGCAGCATCGACCGCCTCATGAAGCAGATATCTTCCTTTATGTCAGAGATCTCCGATGAGTTCAAAGTACGTAGACACTCTCTGGAGCACTCCCTGTTCCCAAGTAAGCAAGTGCCGTGCACCTGCTGTCCTGGTAGGGACCTGGTAGAGAGCTGGTCAGGCTTGAGGATTTAGGCGAGATTTGGCATCTGGAATTAGGCACATCCCTGTACCTTTGTCTGTATTGTTTGTAATGCAGATCAACCCCTTTCTGTCTCACCAGGGATCCATTCGTTAACTCCATCAGTGTTTCTGCTGTGTACAGTGTACAATGTTAGAAGAGGGGAGCATAGCGGTGAGCAAGACAGTGAGTGCATGGACTTGCTTTCTGGTGCGGGGAGTGAACAGTGCACTGGGTAGTTTCAGACGCTAGTAAGCAGTGAAGGAAAC